GAAGACGACAGTCTGTGCATACTTTCGCAGGCCATGGCTCCCTGCTCTCTGTATGGCTGCTTTCTCAGCGCCATGCAGTGAGCGCCTGTGCTCCTCCCTTCTGCTGTGGTATTTGTGTTATGCAGACAGCTGATCATGGCCTGAAACTGAATCCATGAACCAAATTAAATGTCTCCTTTTTCAAAATGTGGATGCTGGATACCAGATCCCAGTGATGGGACAGCTGACCAATCTAGAACATTGGTACCGTAAGTGGAATCACCGCTTACTAGGATATTGTAAGCAGAGCTGGATGGAGAATTCTGTCAGAGCTCAAAATCTATCGTTGAAGAATGACAACAGTAAAGGCCAGGTTGATGAAGTTTCACGTAGGATGATATAAGACATATGCACAGAGCTCAGTCATGTTACAGTTTTCTAACAGAAAACTCAATAAGTATCCCAAGTTCTGAGATTCTTCAGACTGGTGAATTTAAAAGCAGTGATGAATTGATCTAATGGAAGAATTTAAAGGCATACTAATATTCAGGCTATGCCTGCTTTTAGACAGATACATAATGATAATCAAGAGAAATTTTTTAAAAATGTATTTGGTACAGGCTCTCACTTCTCACTGCATAGCTGAGACTCATAGTGAGCCTCCTGTTTTCAGCCTCCCCAGTGCTGGGATTATAGGTTTGTACCACTACAGCCAGACTCAGTTGCTGGGTCAAGGCTGAAGTGCATGCGGCATGGGGAACCGATCTGGTCCCTGTGCTTGCCTAAGCAGGTGTTTAGTCTGCTGAGCTCTCTCACTGGCCAAAAAATATTTTTGAAGCATAAATATTTATAAAGCTTATATTTCTTCCTTAAAGAAATCACATGTGGTGTTCACATGGTTGCTGCAGAGATTCAAGCTACTAAGAGGACAAAATTTGGAACCAGAAGAAGGATGACTTGAGGTCATCTATGGAACCTCAAAGACCTATTATTATCAGGTTCAAGGGTAAAAAAAAAAAAAAAGAGTAAGCACTTTATTTGAGAAGAGAACACCCACGACCCTTGATCAAGAAAGGCCATCGAGGGATGTTTTCTCATAATTAACTTAACACTGCTTAGCAATCTAGGGACTCGGTGGCCTGGACAGCTGTGGTCAAAGGGGACTGGCTTCTCTTTGAGGTCCAGCAAACATTGGGATAGTCTGCATAGTGCTGATTTTTCAGGTACAGTATGGAGAATGCAAGAATTGTGGGATCACAAAAGCTTCCCTCCAGATTTCAAAGAAAGAATTGGAAAACCAGCCAAGGTGAACCTGAGAAAGAACGTGGGCATCAACCCAAAGGTGTGACTGGGACTCTGAAGATACAAGGAACATCAAATTCTTTGGACTGAGACCTGCAAGATCATTAGCAATGCAACTGTCCAGATCCTAGACACAAGCTATAGGTTTAAAGCTTCTCTTGCTGAATTTCAGCCTAATTTGGGTCCCATCTTTTTCCATTCCTTTCTTTCAGAGTAGGAATATTTACTGGTACCATTGCAAACTGGAAATAATAACTTGATGTTTGAATTAAGGTATATAGCTAGGTGTTCACTTTGAGTACTTGAGGAGACTTTGGACTTAGATTATGAACAACACTGGAACTTTAGAGAAATTTGTAAGTGGGTTCTTGGGCTTCCAGCTGTAGGCAGAATAGTTTTATTGTTTTAAGTTGAAATGTGTGACCCAGTGTTTAATTGAAGATTAATTACTGTTTAAGGAGGTATGTCTGGGTGTCAAATTGACAAGGGGTGGAATGTTACAATTAAGCTCCACTGTCAACATAGTTGGCTAGAAAGCTATCAAGGGAATCAATAAAGTGCACTTTGGATGTGTCTGGGGAAGGCACAACTGGGCTTCTATATCCAGCCCTGTCCCCTTTTTCTCTGGTGCTGTTCTTCTGCTTTGTCTCCTAGGCACTATGAGACTTGGAGCTATGCTCTGTACTGCCCTATTATTGTAATGTTCATATATTGGTGCCAAAGAGCATGGTTGAAGCTTCAGATATTATGAGCTGAAAATAAACCTTTCCCGCCTTTAAATTATGGGTGCCAGCATTGTGTTCTAGCGACAGGAAAACTGACTGATATAAGTAGCATCATTAACCAGTTTCTTTCTAGATTCCAGAGATACAGCATTAAGAAAGAAAAGATCTCTGTTCTATAGAGCTTTGTTTAAAACAAAGATTCATTGTCATGTCTTCCTGGACATGATGACATTCATGTTATATCACATGGTTGCCATGCAACTTGAGATCAAAACTGCTTTGCAAATTCAGAGATAACTCAAACATCACAGTCATGTGACTTAACATGCTGCCTATTTGCCAAATTCCATTCAGAATCCGAAGCATAGCATACGTGCGTGACAAATGTACAGTGAGGTTAAAAACTCCGATCTGTTACTTTAGTGTCATTTATTCTTCAATCAT